CATATAGTAGGCAAACTATGCAACTTTGAGGAATGGGAGAAAATCATAAGAGTAGCTAGAGAAAGAAATGCAGTCACCTCTAAGGGTAGTCACATAAGAATATGCTCAGACTTAGCAGAAACCAGGAAGAAGAGAGTGCAGTAGCATCTTTCAAAAAGTTGAAGGAGAATATGGTAACTCAAGACTCCTCCATCCCGCCAAACTATACATCAAAATAGAAGGACAGGTAAAGTTTACCCAGACATGAAAAATTTAGAGAATACATTAAAAAAAAAACAACAACAAAAAAACCCCAAAACCACAACCCACCCAGCTCTACAAAAATTTCTTTCTGGCTCATTTGGCTAGAGGATCAACATCCACAGAGCATATTCACCACTTGAGATCACCGCATAGTATAACTCTAACTAGAAGTCAATGCAATGAAAGCGTAGCCCAGGATGTCATTGACTAAATGATGAAAAGAAGGCAAGAATGAATCCCCCCTCATATACACAACACACAGCTAGTAAATATCCAACACAAAATGTACAAGATAACAGCAAAGAACCCACAAATAGATGTAATAACTCTGAATGTCAATGGCCTGAATTCACCCATTAAAAGAGAAAGGCTAGCCAACTGGATTAAGAAGCAAAACCTATCAATAGGTTGTCTGCAAGAAACACATCTAAAGCTCACAGACAAAAATAGTTGAGGATCAAAGACTAGCAAAAAGTATATCAAGTGCTAATAGCAATTTTTAAGAAGCACGAGTTGCAAATCTACTCTGAAAAATTCAATCTCAAGGTGCAGGACATAAGAGACAAGGATGGGCACTATATAATGCTTAAGAGATTAGTAGACCAAGATCCAGTGAGCATAATAAACATATAAACGCCTAAAGAGAGACCCACACAATACATCAATCAAATCCTTCAAAAGATGATAAAAGGAATCACAGGATGAACAATCATAGTAGGAGACTTTAATACACTGCTCTCTTAGAAAGACAGATCATGGGAATGAAGCTCAACACGGAGGCTAAAGAACTGAACTCCACCATTTGACAACTTGACCTGATAGACAGAGCTCTCCTGCAAAAAATTTCACATTCTATCCAAGTACACCTGGCATGTATTCAAAAATAGACCACATCCCAGGACACAAGTCAAGCTTGAGTAAATTCAAATATATCGAGTTCACTCAGACTTCATTCTGTGACCAATACTCCATAAGGCTGAAAATTAGCAAAATGAAGATAAAATCAAGGGCAAATACTTGGAGGTTGAGTAACTTTCTTCTTTAAAAGGAGTGGACACTGGCCCAAATTAGAGATGAAATTAGGAAGTTTCTAGATACAAATGAGAATGGGAATACAACATACCAAAACCTATGGGATATAGCAAAAGGAAGTTATCACAGGATGTTTGATAGAGATAAATGCATATATGATGGCTTATGGTTCAGCAATTGGAAAAGAGTCAACAAAATAATCTTGTAATAGTAAAAGACAGGAAATCATGGAGATAAATGGGTGGGGAAAAATAATGCAAAAAATCAATGTGGTAAAAAGTTGGTTATTTGAAAGAATTAACAGAATTGACAAACCGTTGGCAAATCTAACAGTAAAAAGAGCCTATGTCAATATACAGGAAGAGGGATGAAATGGGAAATTATAACAAACCCTGATGAAATTAAAAGACTAATTACACAGTACTAAGTACTATGAAGGTCTGTACTCCAGTGAATACAACAACTTGGAAGATATAGACAAATACTTGGGAAAACAAATGCTCCCCAGATTGTCTCACATAGATGTCAAGAAACTGAAAGACCCATAGCAAAAGAAGAAATCACTAAAGTTATCAAGGGAATACTAACTAAAACAAGTCCTGGCTCAGATAGCTTCACAGGAGAATTCTACCAAGCATTCATGGAAGAGCTGACACCAATTTTACACAAGCTCTTCCATAGCATAGAAAAGGATGGTAAACAGCCAAACACATTCTATGAAGCCAGTATAACACTGATATCAAAACCGGGCAAGGATCCCCCAAGAATAGAGAACTACAGGTTAATATCTCTAAAGAAAATCAATGTAAAAATCCTTAACAAAAATTTGGCAAATAGAATACCAAAGTATATAAAATGAAGAATTCATCATGACCAAGGGGGATTCATACCAGGGATACAGGGATGTTCAACATCCTAAAATCCTTCAACATTATCCATCACCTTGAAAAGAAAAGGGGTAAGAACCATATGATAATATCAATAGATGTCAAAAATAGAATTTGACAACATTCAACACCTGTTCTTAATTAAGACACTCAAGAAGATAGGATTGGAATGAAATAAAGTCAATATAATTCAAGCGATATATGAAAACCAACAGCCAGTGTTACAATCAATAGAGAAAACATGAAAACATTCCCACTGAAAAGGGGAACCAGGCAAGAATACTCCTTGTCCCCACTTTTATTCCTCGAGGTTCTAACTAATAACATAAGGGAACAGAAGGACCTCAAAGGTATTCATCTGGGGGAAGAAGAAGGGAAACTATCATTAGTTTATAAACGAAATGATTCTATATATTGAGAACCCCAAAGACTCCACAATAGGAGTGCTGGAAGTGATACAGGGATATGATAGAGTGACAGGATACAAGATCAGCAAGAAGAAATTCATCTGATTCTTATATAAAACTGATTGCATGAAATAAAAAGAGAACAAGAAGGTAATATCCTTCACAGTAGCCAAGCATAAATTGAGATATCTAGGGATACACTTAATCAAAAGATTCCAAAAGATCTGTACAATGAAAACTACAGAATATTATTTCAAGAAACCAAAAGGGACCCTCACAAATGGAAGAATATCCCATGCTCATGGATTGGAAGACCCAATATTGTAAAGATGTCAGGCCTACCCAAGGCCCTGTAAGTTCAATGCAATATTAATACAAATACCAGAATCTTTTCTCAAAGAAATGGAAAGACTAATTACCAACTTCATATGGAAAGGGAAGAAGCCCAGAATTGGCAAAGAACTCAAGAAGAGTAAAGTGTTGGGGCTTGTATTAACTGACTTTAAAACATAGTTGTCAAGATAGCATGGAACAGGTATAATAACAGAAACACAAACCAATGGATAGGAACAGAAAATCCAGAAATAAGGTCAGCAGCACACAAACAACTGATTTTCAATATGGGCCCCCCAAATATCAAACAAGAAGCAGATGCTTTTTTAACAAATGGTTGTGGAAAACCTGGATATCTATCTGTAGAAAATGAAGCAAGACCCTGACTTCAAACCCCACACAAGAACAAATTCAAGGTAGATCACAAATCTAAAGGTAAAACCCCAAATTATCAGGATTATCAATGAGAAAATTGGGACAAAGTTAAGAACCTTAGTTCAGGGAATACATGGGCTATCAGAAATAAGGAAGGATACACACTCAGAGGAAGATAAAATAGACAAGTGAGACTTACTAAAGATAAAACACTGTATACATTGAAAAAATTCATCAAGAGAGTAATAAAAGAGCCCACAGACTGGGAAAAGATATTTAGAAATGACATATCAGACAAAGACTGTAATCACTAAAATCTACACAATCCGGAA